GGATTCCAGGGCTGGTCCCACACTGTCAAAGCCCACTTTTAACCACTGCCCAAACTGCCATCAACAAGGAGAGTTTCTGGAAGTACTAGCTTTGACATTGTGATCAACAGTCTCACATGCTGCAGGGGAGGGATGGGGTGGGGTGCCAAGTGACCCAGAAAAGCAGCTTTGAGGAGAAACTTTAGGTCCTGTCACCAAGGGGGTGGGGGTGTCTGTGGGGGGCAGTCTCACAGAAATAGGCAATGTCCACCAGGGAGGCCAGGAAGGTCCCCTTCCCCCCCACTCCCACTGCAGCCTCCCTTCCCACTTTTCTCTATTTTTATGCCTAGCAGTACTGGCCCAACCCCACTTCCAACTACCAGACACCCTTCCCTGGCCAGCAACCCAGAACAGATGGTTCTGGACGCCCCTCCCCGCGCTAGGAACTGCTACGTGACCTCACAGCAGCCTCCTGGGCTTTGCCAGGCCTGCAGACAATGCAGAGCTCTGGAGCAGAGGCTGGTGGGGGGCTGTGGACACGGTGGGGAAGAATGGGTCTCTGAGGAGCAGCACACACTTGTGTCCCCTGCCCAAGACCCCTGAGGCCCACCCCGTGGCTCAGGCCAGCCTTTACATGCACTGTCCTCCAGGGCTCCCCACTCTTTCAAAACCCCTTAGTTGGGGCAGGGTTTACGCCTGACTGTTGACAGTTCTGTGCGTCCTTCAATGCCCCAGCAGCCACTCCCCAATGCCAAAACGAGGCCCACATGCTGCAGGCCCATCCCATTCCAACACCAGCAAGGCAGCAGGTGGGGGAACTGAGCTTATTTTTTTTTGGGGGGGGGGTTTCCTGCTGGGCAGATACACTTTTCTGTTAGCCAGCCCCTCAAACCCGGTGCCTGCAAGTGGATTCCGCCCTAGGGTGGCTGTCACAAGGAGAGTAAGGATCCCAAAGCCATAAGTCTTGATGGCAGGGGAACGGGGCTGCTGATTCTTAGACTTTACAGTTAGAAGCAGCGCATGAGGTGGGGGGTGGGGGGGTCCCCGACCCTAACCCAGATTTGCTGGGAAGACTCATGACCTCAGCTTCCCAATCTGTAAAATGGGGGCTCAGAGCACAGTCCTGCAGGAGGAAGATTCAGAAGGCGCTACCCTCCAGAGAAGGGCTGGTTTGGTGGCGCTGTGGGCGAAGCACAAGGTGGGTGATTTGAACCCAGCAGTGAGTAAGTACCTCCACGGGATAGAGGAGGCATCCGCTTCCAGGTAGGATTTACCCTCTTCTACTTCTTCCTTTAGAAACTGCTCCTCGGCGTGGGCCTAAGGGTCTCCTCCCAGGCGGGGTGGGGGTGGATTCTCTTCCTGGGGCTTGGGTGTCAGGGGTGGAGCTTGTCAGACAGCTGGGCGGGTGGGGTGATACTTTGCAGCTGCCCTTGGCACAGTTGTTCTGGGGGCAGGCCTGGTCTCCCCCAACCGCCAGGCTGCCAGAAGACTGGAGCCAGCGGTGGTTAGCCTCTTCCGGCCCACAGCCAGCAGCCGTGGGCAACAGGGCAGTATCAGCACCATGTGCCACCGGCTCCAGTGGGTCCCACAGGCGACAATACTCCTAGCTGTACGCCCCTCCCTCCATCGTGCGCCAGCTCGCCCGTGTGCAGGTGGGGTGATGGAAGCATGAGCCAGGACTCGCGTGGGGGAAGGGGGGACACGACAGAGCAAGCCTTTCTCCTGCCCCATTGGGGCTGCAGTCTCCCACTGGGGCAGAGGATTCAGAGAAGACCTTTGTTGGCGAAGCGCACACCAGTGGCACCCCCATCAGGAGCTGAGCCAGACCTCCAGCAAGCCTCCTGCACAAGGCCATCCGATAACACCCTCCTGTGACCCCCACAGCCACACCGTCTCCTGAGCCCCCAGCCTAGACTCCTCCATCTACCAGTCCACAGAGGAACCCACACATTTCCTTTGATTCCCCCACCCATCATCCAAGACGTGGGTCCACCCACCCCCTCCCGCCCATAAAGGAGCCCCCCCTGGGTGTGGCTGTTTCCTCTGCTCCCCAACATCCAGAAGGAAGCCCATGGCATCATGCAGGGGCTCTGGGGGCAGCCAACCCCAAAGTGCTCAGGCAGGAGGGCTACATGCTGCCCACCCCACCCAGCGCCTGGGCCTCACCCAGTTCCCTCCAGAAACCCCTCCTGTCACCACAGTGAGGTCCTAAGGGGCTCGAGGTCTCTCTGGCTGTTGTCCGGCCAGTGGCCTTCCCCAGCCTGTGTGGTCCTTGCTAGGTGCCGTCAAGGCCGCTCCCATCCAGCAGCCCTCTGCACCACAGAAGCACGCACCGTCCAGCTACGCGCCATCCTCAGTTGCTCCCGGGCTTGAGCCCATTGGTGCAGCCACTGTGTCTACCCATCTCCTTGAGGGCCTTCCTCTGGTCACTGCCCCTCTGCTTTACCAAGCGTAATGTCCCTCTCCAGGGGCTGGTCTCCCCATCCTTGCCCCTAAGGAGCACTGTGGCCGTGTTTCTTGCAACACGGGTCAGCTGTCCTTTTAGCAGGCCACGGTACTTTCAATGTTTCCCTCCAGCACGATTCAAATGCATCGGTTGTACCTCAGGCTTCTTGATGGGCCAAGCCCACAGTGGGTCCCAACCCCAGGGCTTGGGAAGCCCAGTGCAGGCCCGGGGGTCCTGACAGAACTCAGTGAAGCTGCACCCTGGGAGGCAGTGGGCAGGTAGGTGCTGGGCTGCTGAGAAAGGCAGCGAGCCGACCACCAGCTGCTCCACAGGAGGCCGAGGCAGCCCACTTCTAGAATGACCCCCTGGTCCTGCAGGGCTGCCGAGTGGGAATCAACTGGCTGGCTCTTGGTTTAGACAAACGTCACAGAAACTGTGTGTGCATGGGGGTGGGGACACCCCAAACTCAGAATGACTGACTCAGGGCAAGTGGGTGGGTCGGAAAGGGCTAAACCAAGCTGGGAACACAGCCCAGGTCACCTCTACGGCATCTCCTCCACTCCCCTCAGCCGACTGGGAGACGGGCCCAGGATTCTGGAGATGGTCCTGCCTGTTTCCCCTTCGTCCCAGCAGGGGCTTTATAAGCAACCTGGGGCCAGGACATCGCCACCAGCCTGACTCTGAGGACCCTGTATTGCTGCCCCTCACTGAAGCCTCACCTCCAGGGCCCCCTTTCTCAGCTACCTCCTTAGCTGGGAGAAGTAACCCCTTTCTTGGGGAACACCCTGTCCAGCTGAAGGGTCTTGAGGTTTCCAGGGGAGGGTGACCCTCAGGCCTCCCAACAGGCAGGGAGCCCACAGGGATCCTGGATCACCTGCCACCCAGTCAGGCCTGCTGCTGCCCTGGAGCAGGCCCATGGGGGCTCAGGGAAGGAGGCCGTGGAAGGCAGCGAGTCCCCAGGGAGCAGGAAGTGGGTCTCTCTGTGTTAGAGAAAGGCTTGAGAATGTAGCCTTGGGGGTAGGGGGGCTTTATTTTGGTGTGGAGGGGTGTAGTCTGAGGAAGGGGTACAGCAATTGGCCTGGGGAGGAATTTGTGTATGTGTGCGGCCTTGTGAGGGATTTTTTCTGGGGGTTGTGTATATGGCCTGGGGCCCAGCAGAGCAGTGTTCTTCCCCACGTCTGCCTGCTGGGTTCGGATTCTGCCCCTTACAACACACGGGGACCAGTGGGTTCACCCTCTGTGACACAAGGCCTGGGCCTGGCTGGCATCCATGCAGTCGGTGGGGGGAGGGTTCATCACAGCCAAGTCAACCACATGGAGGCGCCTTAAGAGCCCCTCCCATTCTGGGGGGAGATGGGGAGGTATCCAAATCCCAGGGAAGCCAGCAGTCCTGGATCACCCCATCCAGTCTGCACTAACCATCTGCCAAGTATAATAGCAGGAACCCGGGCACCACTGTCCCCTCTACCCCCCCATTGGGATCACCCAGCCCTGCAGCCAGCTTTGGCTCTGCTGGAGAGGGAAGACCTTGTCCAACAAAATGGCCTCCCTCGTTCATACCCACTCACCTGCAGGTACAGGGTGGGGGCAAGGCCTAAAGTTCGCCCTGGAGCTGCAGGCCCAGTGGCCAAGGACCCAGGTCACTGAGCAGGTCCCTGGGACCAGAGACAGAGGGAGACCCCATCCCTGGGAGCTTCCCCACAACAGGGCCCGGCCCAGTAGTCCTGCTGGGAGTTCAACACCTTCGTTCAGGAGAATTGGTGTGTGGGCCCACATGTGCATGCACGCCGCCGCCAACATGCCAGGTCAAGACTGTCATGAGCAACATGCTGTAGAGACGCAAGTGAAAGGCCACCCCTCTCTGGGGGTTGGATGTGTATCTCCAAGACAGCTGCACAAACCCGCCCCTGGGTGTGCCGAACCACAGGGTTGCACCCACCGGGCCAGTCACAGGCCCACCTCCCTCCAGCCCTCCAGAGAAGCTCAAAGACTGTGTGCGCTTGCACCCGTCACCTGGCTTCTCTTCAGCACCCATGGAGGGGTGAGCAGCAGGCACCCCAAGGTGGCCCTTCGTCATCCACAGGAAGCCCCAGCTCCTCTGTGTCTCTCCTCCTCACCCCCACCTCCTGGTCCAGCCCAGGGCTGGGCAGCCCCCACCTGGGAGGGCCATCGGCCGCAGCACCATCTGTTACCACTTAGCCTGCCCCATGGCTTTGTCTCCCGGGAGAGAGGCAGAGAGGGGAGGAGTCCTGAGGAGACAAAGAATATTCTTAAGTCACAGGGGGTGGAGCTCAGGCTGTCCGATGCCCACACACAGGCACCAAGGCTCCTGCTCAGTCCCCAGTGCCATATGTCATAAAGCCTAGCTCCCCACAAGATGCAAAGCGGGTGCCCCCCAGAACACCTTTGACCTCTACCCAGGGCTTCTGGTCTAAGAACTAAGTTCCCAGCTTGAGCTTGGGCAGCCGCCCGCCTCCTCGCTGCCCCACTGCAGCCTCCCAGGCTGGGCCTAGTGCTGCAGCAGCGGGGCCCTCGTGGACCCCCCCACCCCACCCAGGAAGCCACCCCCAGCAGCTGAACAAAGTGTCTTTTATTTGCGACATACAAATCCAACGGATAGGAGGCCAGAGTTTCCCCTGCAGCCCCAGTGATAACAAAAGGCCATCAAGGAGTCCCCCAATATCCTCTAACACGACAAACAGAACGAAACGTGTGTCACCGACACAACGAGACGGGGTGGGAGCACGACACGGAGCGCCCCACCAAAGGCCCGGGGGAAGACGTGAGCGGGGTCCCCAAGGCCAGGGCGGCGTGCTGGGCTGGCCTGAGATGTGAAGCCCTGTGGGAAGTGGCCGAAAGGATAGATGGTGTGAACTCACCTGATGTGGACACTGGGGCCCCTTTTGGTCCAAAACCTACTACCTGACCCATGTCCTTGGAGAGACACCCCAACACACTTGCTGGCTGCAGGGCCCCTGGGAGGAACCAGTTCACTGGCTTCCAGCCAGGGGCTCCAGGAAGCCCAGGGCGGGGTGTGGGTGGGCTCCCTCCAGTGTAGAGCTGCCAGTCACACTGCTGGTGGGGTCCAGAGTGGCAGGGGTGCCCGGCAGAGGGGCTGGTGCCCAGCCCCGACCAGAGAGCTGGGCAGATGGTGAGGGCTAGAGCAGTCAAAAGGCCAGTGGCAGGCCCTCCCGCAAGCGGGAGTGCCGGTACCTTCTCCTGGGTAAAGATTTGGTTAGTCACTACTGCTGCCACCTCTGATCCAGTCGGGGACTCAGGCTGGGCCTAGGCCGGTACCAGAGGCAGCGGTGTGCCTCCCTGAGGCAGGAGGCGTGCAGGCAGAGCGGCCTGCTGCTGGCTGGGGGCTCTCGGAAGGAGGTGGGAGCGCCCGCCTTCAGAGAGCTATCAGCACCAAGGTATGAAGGAAGCACATCCTGGGTCCAGGCCAGGACCCTGCAGAGCAGAGCAGGGCTCCCTGACGTTTGTCCCCTGAGATAGAGCGAGGGGCGGAGGCGAGGGTGTGAGCTCTGGTTTTCTCCCAGAACAAACACTCGCAGCCTGAGCAGCTCAGCTCAGACTGTGGCAGAGTTTCAACGGCAAGGGTGACCTTTGCTCCTCCCACGGTGGCAATAAGGGCGACTTCCTCCTGGAGTCCGATGGTCCCCTGTGGGCTACTCACTGCAGATCCACGAAGAGCTCCCTATCTCAGCCCCCTTCTTTGTGCTGCCCTGAGCTACTCCCCGACTGCCCTCTCTGGAGCCAGGGGCTCCAGGCCTGTGAGGTGGTGCGCAGGACCCCGCCATCTGTCCAGGTGAGCGTCCAGCAGCTGTGGGGAACTCCAGCTGCACAGAAGTGGGGCCCTCAAGCCTGGTGTGAGGAAGCGACTCCGGCTGAGTTTGGGGGCTGCCTCCTCTCCCCCCGATTGGCCGGCATTCGCTCTCCAGGGAGATCAGAGGAGGGCGTGTCTGCAGTCTGAACCATCGCCTCCCCAAGGGAGTCTTTGCTTTGGGGGACAGCCTGGTCTGGGCAGGGCTGAGGTCAAGGCTCCAAGGACGCCCCGCCAGAGGCTAGAGCGGAGGGAAGATGGGCCTGAGGAGCAAGTGGTGGGCCTCAAAGGGGCTCTGGGGCTCAGTGGCAGCAGCCACCACAGTGCCCGCCCGAGTGAGAGTGCTGGCTGTCCCCAAACTTGGTCCTTCGGCTCAGGATCTCGTAGGAGCAGTCTTCCCCACAGCAGCCAGACATGCTGGGGGAAGAGTCATCAATTTCGAATCTGCAAGGGAGCAGAGAGAGAGTGGGGCTGCAGGGGACTGGCTGGGGAGACACTCGGGCTGCTTGGCAATCCGGCCTGAGGACAGCCAGCTGCTGCACTCTCCAGGGGGCCACCTGGCCCGGGGGTCTGGGCCCATGGAGACGAAACCAGGCAAGTGCCTCCCACCGCTAGCTCCCTCTCCTCCCCGGCCCCAGTTCCTTACTGCAGCGCTTCTCTGAAGAACTGGTAGGCGCCGTGATTGTGTTTAAATACCGTCAGCATCACCTTCTTCATCTGGGTGCTGAGAAGGAAGCGGAGGGCTTTGGTGGGACAAACGGAGCCACCGCACACTCTCCCTGCCTCCGTGCCAGCCTGACAGCCAGCAGGGCCCCTGCCCTCAGCTTCTTCCAGAGCGGAAACCCTGTGCCCATCCCCTGTCCCCCAGGCCGTGGGCACAGAGCTTAGCACAGACCAGGCCTCGAAGAGACTGCATCGGGGTGGCAAGCAGGTAGGGGAGGGCTCCTGGAGACGCACTCCCTACCTGTTGGCCATGAGCTGCAGGATCTGGATGAGGAACTTCCCCAGGCCTTTCCTCCGCACCTTGCTTTCCAACTGCACCTCATAGCTGGGAGGAGACACCAGAGAGTTGAATGGAGGTGGCGGAAGGGGACAGCAGATGCCCCTGCCACTGGGAGGCTCCGGCCCAGCCCAGCATAGAGGCCCGTCAGAAGCTGGAGAGGTACCATTGCCCCCCAGGCCCACGGCTCCTACCAGTACAGGACTTCATCCCCGCACTCCACGTCAAACCGGAAGTGAGAGAAAGCCACGGGGACGGACCGGTCTTCCCAGGCAATGAGGTACCAGGCCCGGTCGTCCGTCATCTCGTCCCGCTTCTCTCGGTCCTTCCAGCCCCACTCACTCTGCTCATACCTGAAGGTGGGGAGGGGACGACGGTGAGGACAGGGCCCTCAGGGGACGAGCCCCCACCACAGCCCTCCCAGCCACTCTTACATGGCCTGCATGTTGGTCTTGGTGAGGTCAAAGGCCCAGTCGATGGTGGCTGGCTCCAGTCCCGAGACTCGCTTACATTCAATGGAGACATTTAACCTGAGGACAGGAAGAGACAGGGCTGGGGTTCCAGGCAAGTCCCCTGGGGCACCTCCCCCCCTCCCTGAGGTCTCCTACAGGAAAGCAGACACGAAGTTCAGCCTCCCTCTCTGAGGGAACAGAGCGGTCACCACCTGGCCTAGAAGCCCTGTGTCCCACCTCCCCTTAGCTGGTAGCCTCCCCTTAGCAGAGCGGGAGCTGCTGTGGGCTCAGCTACTTCTGGGCTTGTCTCCTGGCCTCTCGGCAGGTCCCCTGTACTTTGTCATCAGCACTGGTGTGGCTGCTGTTCCTGTCCTTGGGCATTTTGCCTGTTGCCTTAATCTCCGCCCCGGGCCCTCCTGGGACCCCTTCTTCATCGGCCTTCAAAACCAGCCGGGCGACCATGGCCAATAGATGGATGCCCGCCCTCAAAGACAGCAGCACTGTTGGCTGCTCACACAGCGGGATGCAGGGCCCGCACCTGCACTGTTCTCCTAAAGTGAACAAATGCAGGGGGGGGTGTGGGTCTGTCTGAGTCTAAAGATGGACAGGCTCCGAAAACCCCGGCAGTAGTCGATCCCGCTCCACAGGGCCACTGTGAGTGGGAACCGGCTCATCGCGGCCACTCGGGCTTTGGGAGGCAGCCCCTCTTCTCACGAGGGGAATCCTCTGGCCTTTGGCCCAAGCCCTCAGATGTCCCCACTGGACTCCATGTCCCTCTGTGTAAGCAGCACAGGTGCTCAGCCTCTCCTGGAAGCAAGTGGACCCGTGGCATCGGGAAGAAGCTTTCCCAGGAAGGGACTCCCAGAACTTGGGGGACACAGCTCCTCGAGGCCCGTCACAGACAGCAAGAAGTAACCACCCATCAGCTACTTTTGGCGACTGAGGATTGTCCCGCCCAAACCACCTGTCTGTATTTGTCCCGTTGCTCACCGAGGCACCAGCAGCTCGGTGGGAGAATTCCTAGGGACCAGAGTTCAATGCCCAGCCAAGGCACCTCATGCGTAGCTACCTCTCTGCCATCAGTGCAGGTGTGTGTTTGTGTTGTGTGCTGCTAGATGCTGAATCGTTTCAGGGAGCTTCTGGACACAGACTAAGAAGAAAGGCCTGGGCTGCTTCTCCAGGAATCGGCTGGTGAAAACTTCATGGATTACAGTGGTCCAATCTGCCACCAGTGATAGGC